AAAAACCCAAAGGCCCATGAAGCCCAAATCTAGGCCCAATAAGCCTAAAGCCCAAAATCCTAATCTAGGGTCCATAATACAAGACCAAAACAATGTAAATTCCTATACTACTAATATGCAATAAAGTGGTGGTCAATCAAGTAAAGCCCAAGTGAAAAGCACCCTAGGCCCACCAAGCCCATTAGGCCCACTTAGCTCTGAAGCAGTCAAATCTTCAAGTAGTCTTCTAGCCATTGCTCTAGTGGTTGGACCCTTGGTCCATGCTCTTCTATCATCCCCTCCCTCTTGAGAAGGATTCGTCCTCGAATCTAAAGACTCATCCTCATCATCACTAGTCCCTACAAAAGGTTTTAAATCACTGACATTAAAAGTAGGGCTAGCACCATAATCAGAGGGTAAATCAAGCCTATAAGCGTTAATCATTGATACGCTATAAGACTTGAAAGGGTCCATCTCCTCTAGGACTAAGTTTGGACTTCCTTTGTTGGGGAAAACGTTCCTTTCTAAGATGGAGCCAAACCCAGTCACCTTCCTCGAAGATCATAGTCTTTTTTCCTTTGTTATTGGATTGAGCATACTTCTCATTTTGTACTTGTATATGAGTGTTAATCCTTTCATGTAATTTTTTAACATACTCGGCCCTTGAAGTACCTTCCTTATGGATAAAATGGTTAACATTTGGAAGGGGTATCAAGTCTAAGGGAGTCAAAGGATTAAATCCATACACAGCCTCAAAAGGAGAAATATTGGTAGTCTTGTGGACTACCCTATTGTAGGCAAAGTCTATATGAGGCAAATACTCATCCCAAGATTTGTGATTACCTTTTAAAATTGTCCTAAGCATAGTAAATAGAGACCTATTAACTACCTCAGTTTGACCATCTGTTTGAGGATGGCAAGTAGTAGAAAAGAGGAGTTTAGTTCCTAGTCTTGACCACAAGACACGCCAAAAGTGGCTTAGGAACTTGGTATCTCTATCGGATACTATGGACTTAGGAAGACCATGGATCTTAACCACATCTCTAAAGAAGAGTTTTGCAATGTTTCTTGCATCATCTACTTTGTGGCATGGAATGAAATGGTCCATTTTACTAAAGCTGTCCACTACCACAAAAATAGAATTCATTCCGCTTTGGGTTCTAGGTAAACCTAGCACAAAGTCCATGCTAATATCTATCCAAGGGGCTGAAGCAATAGGTAAAGGTGTGTATGTACCATGAGGCATAACTTTAGACTTGGCTTGTAAACAAGCCAAACATCTAAGGCAATTCCTTTGGACATCCTTTTGCATATGGGGCCAAGAAAATCTTTCTTTAAGCAAACTAAGGGTTTTATCAACACCAAAGTGCCCCATAAGCCCACCTTCATAGCTTTCTTTTATCAACAGTTTCCTAATAGAACTTTGGGGTATACATAACTTTCCTTCTTTGTATAAATACTCCTCAGTCATATAGAAACTATTGAAAACTTTTTGTTGGCATTTTTCATAAATATCACCAAAGTCAAGATCTTTCTCATACAATTCCCTAATATTATTAAACCCAAGGATTTGAGTTCCTAGCAACATAAGCAAAGTATGTATTCTAGACAAGGCATCAGCCACATTAGCTTTACCTTTCTTGAATTTTATAATATATGGAAATTGTTCAAGGAATTCTAGCTGCTTGGCATGCCTCTTATTTAACTTACCTTGACCTCTTAAATACTTGAGTGACTCATGGTCACTATGGATTACAAACTCTTTGGACACTAGATAGTATTCCCAAGTTTGCAAAGCTCTAACTAATGCATACAACTCCTTGTCATAGGTTGGGTAATTGAGGGAGACACCTTTTACTTTTTCACTAAAGTATGCAATTGAGTGTCCTCCTTGCAATAACACATCTCCTATGCCAATTCCAGATGCATCACACTCTAGCTTAAAAGTCTTTTCAAAATTGGGTAGAGCTAGTATGGGTGCATTTGTAAGTTGTTCCTTTAAGAGTTGGAATGCATGATCATGCTTTTTAGTCCATTCAAAAAGAACATCTTTTTTTACAAGTTCATTCAAGGGTGACGCAATGCTAGAGAAGTTAGGCACAAATCTCCTATAAAAACTTGCAAGTCCCTGAAAGCTCCTAACTTCACTAACATTCTTGGTTTGTGGCCACTCTTGAATAGCCTTGATTTTCTCGGGGCCACACGAATCCCTTTTTTACTCACAATGAACCCTAGGAATACCACATAGTCCACACAAAAAGTACATTTTTCAACATTAGCAAACAAGTGGTTATTCCTAAGGATCAACAAAACCTCTTTAAGATGTCCTAGATGCTCATCTTGAGATCTACTATATATTAGAATGTCATCAAAATAAACAACAAACTTTTCTATACATTCTCTCAGGACATGATTCATAAGCATCATGAATGTACTTGGTGCATTGGTTAAGACAAAAGGCATAACAAGCCACTTATATAATCCAAATTTAGTCTTAAAAGCAGTTTTCCACTCATCAACCTCCTTGATTCTTATTTGGTGCTATCCACTTTTAAGATCTATTTTGGAGAAAATAGTAGCACCATGCAATTCATCAAGCATATCATCAAGTCTAGGGATTAGGTGTCTGTACTTAATTGTAATGTTGTTAATATAGCCCTACAATCACAACACATTCTCCATTTTCCATCTTTCTTGGGCACTAACAACACAGGCACAACACAGGGACTCAAACTCTTTTACACCCAACCTTTGTCCAACAATTCTTGTACTTGGTTCTCTATTTCCTTGGTTTCTTGTGGATTTGTCCTATAGGCAGGTCTATTGGGTAGACTTGCCCCCGACACAAAATCAATTTGATGTTCTATACCCCTAAAAGGTAGAAGGCCCTTTGGACCCTCACTAGGAAATACATCATCAAATTCTTTTAATAATTGAGAAACTCCAAGTGGTAGAGAACTAGGTTCAAGATTTAAATTATGACAGCTAAGCATATCTCTACAAAGAAGAATATAAGAAGGTTCAAGTAAAGTTTGTTTCAAAATTTATTCTTGTTGAATTCCTTCTAATGGAAGAGGCTCTTCCTTCTTCTTCTTTGAAGATTTATGCTTCTTTCCTTTTTTTTTTCAACTTTTTTTTTCTTCCTCTCTTTTTAATTTCATTTGTACTTGATCCTCTATCACTTGTGATGGAGACAAAGGATGAAGTATAAACTTTTTTTCTTTGTGTGTGAAAGTTATTTAATTGGTAAGGTTATTATGCATGATTTTCTTGTCAAATTGCTTGGCCTTCCCAACAAGATATGACAAGCTTCCATGGGAACTATGTCACACACCACATGATCTTCATAGTTTCCAATGGAGAACTTTACTTTCACTTGTTTATCTACAATGATATCCCCATTTTCATTTAGCCAATGAAGTTGATATGGTTTGGGATGGGGAATTGGAGTGAGGTCTAGCTTCTCAACCAACCTTGTACTACAACAATTGCAACATGAACTACTATTCACAATGAGAGAACAAACTTTATCAGAAATTTTACACCTTGTGTGAAAAATATTCTCTCTTTGTGAAATGTGAGATTCATTAGGTTGACTTCCTAGAAGCCTTCTAATCATCAACAATTGACCATCATAGGGATAAGCTCTTTCAATTGGATGGTCTTCCTCACTAGTCTCACTGTCACTTGAAGTAGTAGAGCTAGATTCATCATGGCTACTATAAATGTCTTGTCCTATTAAAATCATAACTTTCTTGTTTGGACATTCAGAAGCTATGTGGCCTCTTCCAAGACATTTAAAGCACTTGATTTCACTAGATTTACTACTAGAAGTGATAGCATTTTTATTTTTTTCTTTTTCTTTTTCTTTTTCTTGACCTTTGCTAAAGTTTTTAGAATAGTCATATTTAGAAAATTGACCCTCCCTCTTGTAGTCCTTCTTGACATAAGAGTTAGATTGAGTTTTGTCTTTCTTAAAAGAATTTTTTCTCAAATGTTGTTCCACCCTTATACAAAGTTGGACCAAATCATCAAGGTCTCTATAAGGGAGTAACTCAACTGTATCTCTTATGTCAAAATTAAGCCCACTTAGCAATGGTCAAACTTTTCTCTTCCCTTATTCCAACTCTTATTAAGTACAACTCCATCTTTTGTCTATATTCCTCCACACTTAAATTCTTTTGTTGGAGTCTTTGGAGCTTATCTATAAGCTCCCTACTATAATATGAAGGTATATGCCTTCTTCTCATAACACTCCTTAAATCATTCCAATAGGCTATAGGAGGGTCATTATGAAGTCGCCTTTCTCTCACCAAGGCTGTCCACCAATACATAGCTTGTCCTTGGAAAGCTAAGGTGGCCAAGGGAACTTTTCTTTCTTCACCTACTTGATGACAAGTGAAGATTTGCTGCACTTTCATTTTCCAGTCCAAGTAGGCATCTACATCCTCTTTTCCATGAAAAGGAGGGAGATCAACTCGTGATTCCCTAACCTTTGGTTCTTTAATGACTCTTCTAGGAATAGGTTGGTAGTATTCATTCACATGCAAACTACCTACATCCTCTTGGCTTGTGGAGCCATTGGAACTCTTATGACTTTTTTTCTTTTTAAGTTTTTCCAAAAGTTTTGCTTCTTGTTGCTTAATTTTGTGTATTTCCTCCTCAAGAGCAACAAGTTGTACTTCCCTTTCAATCTTTTCTTTTTCTTTAAGAAGTACTTTTTGTTGTCTCCAAAGTTTTAGTGCTTCAACCTCCTTAACAATTTGAGAAAAACTTTTAGGAGATTCCATTTCACTATCACTTTGAGAAAGGTTACTCATTATTAAGCAAAAAGAATTTTATATGCTATGAAAAAAGAAAATATTTTTGGTCTTTTCTAGGAACAAGATTAACACTTGGAAGTCTAAGTGTACAAATTGCGCTATCAAGGGAGGTGAGCTACTAAGAGCCACTTAATAACTAAGCCTTTTCAAGTGGAAATTACTAAACTTCCTTGTGGTATTCTCAATTCCACAAAAAAAATTTCACAAATTTTAATGATGGATGATTTTCACAATTGTTCTTGATTACAACTAGACGTGAGCAAATTAAATTCTACACATGCTAGTCGAATTATCAAAGCAAAATAATTAAACCAAAACAAACAACTCAAAGGAGACAATGTTAATCAACTAGTCGGTTTTGCCCTAAGTGGAAGCTTGAAACATGAAATTTCCAAGCCACTTCCACTAGTACTACACGTGAGTGATTACCAAGGGTTAGATATACCTGACCAGCTTCTTAATACTCCCTCCAAGATTTACAAATTGATTGAACTTTAAAAAGAAAATGCAAGAAATTAAACTAATCCTAAAACAAAGTTGTGACGGTTTTAGTGACCACTTTAGTGATGGATTTTTCAATCAAATTTTCAAGCACTAGTTTGAGTGCTTCAATCCGCCACCAACCCTGCTCCTTGATGCTCCTTGATCCTGCACAAATAACACAACCAATAGATGAACTTAGGTTGCACACAAGATGGATGGAAAGATCTCTCTTGTGATGGTAAGTTTAGTAGGTTTAGGTCACCAATTTAGGTCAAAATTTTAAGTCCTTTTGTCTCAAAACTCCATTCCTACCATTGTTGAGTCAATGTTTGGTTCTTAAGCTAGGGTTTGAGGCCACTTCCAGCAAAGAAATTTGAACAAAGAAAACATAGACAAACAACAAAAGCACAATTTAGAAAGCTTATACCAAAATTGAAGAATCTAAGTGTTTAAGACAAGACTGAAAGAAAGCCAAGGATTAAAGATGAAAATTAAGACTTCAAAGAAGGCTAGCACTCAAAGAGAAAGTTCCTAGATAAGCACTAGAATGGATTAACAAAACTAAAAAGAAATGGAAACAATCATCAAAGAATTTAGGTCAAAGCTAGTAGATCTTTTCAAAACTTTTGGTTTTCAATTCTCGGCTTTTCCTTTTTGTGTTTGTGTTTTTTTTTTTAAACCTTTTTATCTTTCTGGATTTTTAATGTTTTTCCAGAGAAAGTGAATTGCCTTTTACACCAAAATTCCTCAAAATGATTGAATACAATTCGGATCTACTAGAATTGAACCATTTTCAAGCAACAACTCAAATTCTAGTGCACTAGTTTTAGTGAAATGTTTTTGGATCCTTTTGCACTTGTTTTTATTTTTTATTTTTAAACTATTTTGAAGTGTTTACTCTGTATTTTTCTCTGTTTTTATCAACCAATTTTCCAGAATTTAGATCCACAATTAATCATGCACTAGAATTAGGTTTATCACTTTAAAATTTCAAGTAACAATTATGGCAACAAGATTTGCAATGGAATTTAAAAATTTGAAAACTCTAGACACAATGGAAACCTAACTCTAGGAGTTCACCAATGATCTACTAGTGAACATGAACTCAAGTATGTAAAGAAAAAGCACACAAGCAAAGGCACATTTAGAAGAAATAAGTCTCGGCCAAAACTCAACAAAACTTGAATTCAAATTTTTCAGCACATATTACAAGCACATCTTGAATGATTTTGACATTTTAAGCAATTACACTTGACTAGACAAAACTTAAGATTCAAAAATCAAAAGACCACACATGCATATGACTCCAAATGACCGAAACAATTTAAGCAAAAGATGAATGACTCAAATCAAAGAAAACAATAGCACAAGTTGAATCCTAGTTACTATTGATTGCGGATTGAAAATCAAAGTGCAATCAATAATTGGATCTATAGAAAAATTTGTTTTCAAAAATGATAGATCCAAGAAGAAACTCAAATTGTGACACAATGAACACAAGAACACAGAAAATCAATCGGTCAAAAGATGTACTTATCTTCAAAGAAAAAACCGTGCTCTAGATACCAAAAATGATGGTGGAGTTTATGAAGAAGTGGATGATTTGCTTCTCCTTTCCTTCACCAAGCGTAGGATCAACTTCTTTGAAATGTGCACCAATTGAAAGAAGCTTAAGATGATGAAGAAGATGAATTGGAGTTCCTAGGCTAGAGATGGAAGTGCCCTAGCGTAAGACACAAAGGAAAGCTCACTTCAAAAGTAGGAAAGTAAAGTAGGGTTTCCTAGTTCTAATGAAGGCTCTCGGTGACCTTTGAAGAAGAATTGGCTGAAGAAAATTCAGAGAATTCTTATTTCATTTCAAAAGTGCAAGTACAAGGCTTAAGGTGTGCATTTATAGGTGCGGATGAACCTAACACTACTAGAAAAATACTGTTTTACGTCGTTATATTTACATCGATTATCTAAGCAACGATGTAAAAAATATATGCAGTGGCAAACTTGTAATTAATTAGAAAATATAAGCAAATTTACATCGGTTCTTCCTAAAACCGATGTAAATACTTCATTTCTACATTGGTTTTAGGAAAAAACGATGTAAATTTGGTTATATTTACATCGGCTCACGGCAGTCAGGAGGCTCGGCAATGCCGCGAGGGAGTGCCTTAAGGCTGTGAAGTTGGACCCTGCTTATGTCAGAGCTCATAAGAGACTTGCTTCACTTTATCTTAGGTAATGCTGTCACATGAAAATTTGAATTTGGATTTGGATTTGAATTTGAGTTTGTTGACATTGGGATTTTGAATTTGGTGCAGGTTTTGACAGGTTGAAAATTCGCGGCGGCACTTGTGTCTCTATGGGATTCACGAGGATCAATCTGAGGAGCAGAAGCTATTGTTATTGGAGAAGCATTTAAATCGTTGTGCTGATGCAAGAAAATTTGGTGATTGGGAGATGGCGCTTAGGGAATCAGAAGCATCCATTGCTGTTGGAGCAGATTTTTTGCCTCAGGTACTTTTCGAATTTCTCGTTTTAACATTGTTTATGTTAGACATGTAATGTAGAATATAAAATTGTTCACGTGTCTTCATTTGGTAGCGCAAAATTTTAGGATTGTTGATGTGTGATTGATTTCTGTTTCCAAAAGCTGTTTGGAGTTTTCAAAATGCAACTAAACAAGGTTGCTAAGAAAGCTGGTGGAGGCTTGAAGAAGGCTATTGATTTCTACGGTATTACTTTTCCTGATTCCTTTGCTTTTATCATTTCCTACAATTATTATTCAATACTCAATTTCATTTTGCTATTGAATATTTTGTAGTGCTCCATGCTTGTTTATTTGCATATACTTTGTGTTATTTGAGTATTGAATTAACAGCAGGACGTATAGGTTTGAATTTGATTTGTATATTGTCATGGACTCTTAGTCGTGCCTTGTGCTAAATCAGACCTATTTTTATTTAACTCGCTTAGGATGTTTTTAACAGAAGTAACTGCATATACCATCAATTTAGTTTTTAAAGTATTACTCTCTTTCCTAATTAGTCCTTAGAGTAACCAAATTATATATACAGTCCCTAAAATATTAGAAAATATGCTACATATTCCTCAAAACATTTAAAACCTTCAGTTCCTCTCAACATGAGTGATTAGAAAAATATAATTGGGACTAATTTGATGAGTTTTCGGTACATTTTAAAGACCATTTAATATTTAAGAGAGGTGATACTTCAAGGACCAACTTGATTGTTTAGTCAAAGTAGTATCATTGGTTGGAACTATGTCGATCTCCATGTTTTTCTAAGAGTGGTCTTATTTTCTGGTGTCATAGAGGAAGTGAAGGCAAAGCATCCTAAGATTACATATGCAGACCTCTACCAGGTGATCATTTGTCTTAATTCAGTTGTTGTGAAAGTCTATTGAATCTGATAATTTTGTATTAAATTTGTTAGGTGAAAACTGAAAATCGTAGAATGGGGTTAATGGACTTCTAAATTTGCCTGGGATGTGCATGATAATTGATTCAGGTTTCCGTTTTCTGCCATGTTCAATTAAAATTACTCTTTTTGTACACCATTTTTATTCAGAGTCATGGATATGCTGCTAGGCTTTGGTTTTTCCGTAGTGTTAGGTGGGGTTAGTTTATGACTCTTTTTCTTTTTTGTTAATTGATCGATTGAATTTTAGTATGAAGAGGACGAATGAATATTAAGAGTTGCAGACTTAACATGCCTAGTGATTTAGTGCCTTGTTACACTTGAAACTCGTCCTCTTATACCTGCTTTGGACTAGTGATGTAGTGCTTTGTTACACTTAAGCCTCACCCTCTCTTAGCCATAATGTTTGACAACTCTAATGCGGCCGTGATATGTGGTTCTAATTAACAACTGCATAGCCTCGGACTATGATGGATATCAAAGTCCTCATGCAAACAATCACATCTACACCCACAACCACAATTTAAAACTAAAGACCGCGGTTGCAAATAGATTGACAATTAAGTGTATGGAAGCAATGTGAGTGTATGGAAATGAATTTCTTGAGGTTCCTAACTATTAGTTTTAATATTTCTTTTATTTTACTATATTCCTCTCTTGTCTTAATAATATGATTTTATGCAGCTAGCTTTAAATGCTTTGCTTTCCTACTGAGTGATGATAGCACTAGTGATCTTAAATTTTTGTGGATATCACTTTGTAATAATTAATTGAATGGTCAAAGTCATGATTGTGCTTTGTGTCGTGTAGATGAAACGAAAGGATATAAGCATTGATAAAGTATACGATGCACGTGCACTAAGAGTAGTTGTGGGAAACAAGAATGGAACTTTACACGGTCCTGCAGTTTAGTGTTGCTATAGTCTTCTTGACATTGAACACAGGTAAAAAAAATGGTCAAATTCTAGACTTAATTCAATCCTATAACCTATACATAAGTCATTCAATGCAATCATTGTATGAAGATATAAATATAAGCTTAATAAACCTTTTCTGCATGAAATCATTCAATGCAATCCTATATTTTTAGATTTTTATTTTTATTTTTTTAATTCAAGGAAAGAAATCCTAAAAAGAAAAAATAAATAAAGCAGCACAGAAACAGAGGATGATAAGATATCCTCCTAGGGAGGAACCATGAAAAAACCCATCAACTAAATTAACCTCTTTTATATTTCCATCCTTTTCATTTTTAGTCATTTTTTGGACTGTTGTGAGCTGTCTTCATTATTTAAGAGTGGGAGGTTAGAGATGTATAGATCTTGGGGATCTTTTTCACTTCATTAACCCTGTTGGCCTTGAACAATGGCTCTTAACTGATACGTATATTTTATATTTGACTATACAGGCTTTGGACTCCAATAGATGGTGAATTTGACGACTACATCCTCAATCCAAAGCCTAGTGGCTATCAGGTTAGGCTTTTGGGTTCATATTTTTCATGAAATAAAATTAAAATGATTTTGTTCTTCTAGTCTTAGGAATTGTGCTCATGATTGTATTAACTTGTAACAAATGCAGTCCTTGCACATAGCAGTCCAAGGTCCGGACACACCTTTAGAAGTACAGATAAGAACACAGGTGCTGAGTTATTTTACATATGTTTCGCAGGTTACTTGTGTATATTTTAGTTCTTGATGTTTTCATTTATCATTTTGGTTGCTAGAGGATCCACGAGTGTGCTAAACATGGACTTGCCGCACATTGGCTTTACAAGGAAACTGGAAATCCTTTTTTATCCATAGACAGCATGGATGAACCTGAAATAGAAGCATCTTCCTATTTCTCCCAGCACTGGCCATTTTTAAGGAAGCAAAACTTGCTAGGTAATCTGTTTGTTTGACATAAATGTAAAAAGCAAAATGTTTAACTTAAAATATAATATGCCTTTTAATTTTAAAGTATGTCGATTTTTAAACTGGTGTGATATTTAGCAATTGGTTGCTATATTAAGGATATTTATAACTACTTTCCAGGCATGTTACATGTATAGACGTATGGGATTTGTATTATTTAATACACGCAGCTTTCTATTTGTTTTATCTGATTATCTCCTTATATGTCAAAATATTTTTGGCACTAAAACTTACAAAGCAAGTATACATTCATATGATTCTTTTATGATATTGAAGATGTTTATGCTTATGAGATAAATAATCTACTGATATTGTCACAGCAGGCTCTCAAGTAAGTTTACCTTCAAGGGTCCTTTTAAAGATTGCCTAGTTTCATGGACTAATTGGCTTATGTATGTTATTTTGTGTCATGCTCTTGTAGAACCACGTACTTCCTTGAATCTTGCAACTTGTAACTTTGATTTGTTTTAATTGGGTTCCATTTTTCTCTCCCATTTTTCTAAATTAGTACTGTTAGTATTTTCTTGATGATGTTGCAATGATGATTGCTCAATGGCTTGAACAAGAGAGAAATGTTGTTGCTTTTTTTTTCCTGATATTCATATAATGGATTCATTGATCTTTTCTATAATGATTTGGCTGTAGATTCTTAATTTAGATGTTTCGAAAATTATTCATTGATTTCCAGTGTCATTCTCTTTAACAATTTAGCTAGATTAAAGGAACAAAAGCTATACTTAATGAATGGTGTGAAGAGGTATTACTATTTATTCCTGGTTATTAGCTTTTGATGCTTTTACTTGTTGTTCATTGACAGGGGAATTGAATCATAGTTTCTCATTCAGGACACTTTTGATAGTATTCTCGATGGCTCAGTACGTTTTGGTTAGTCTGGACCAGTTATGCAAAAAACTGATGTAAAATTTGTACATCATTTTACATCGGTTGTGGGAAGAACCGATGTAAATTGGTGTACAAATTTACATCGGTTATACAAAGAACCGATGTAAATTTGTACATCATTTTACATCGGTTCTTTCCACAACCGATGTAAAATGATGTACAAATTTACATCGGTTCTTAAACCGATGTAAAATAGATTGCATTTACTACGTCACTTCATTCTACATCGGTTTTAGAACCGATGTAAATAATGTTAAAGAACCGATGTAAATAACGTGTCTTGTAAGTGGCGCCAATCCAAGAGAAGCCAATTGGCGCCAAGTTTGAATTTCAAAATTGAATTTGAAATTCAAACCTTGGCCAACCATGTGACTAATCCGGATGACACTCCCATCTTAATGTAATTTGGAAGCAATTTGGATTTGAATTTAGAGTTCACATGGCCGGTCCTCACCATGCCAATCCATGTGACTCAAATTCAAATCAAATGACTTTTAAATGACATATAAATGGAACCTAATGCACCTATTAATGACTCCTTTGTAAAATCCTATTCTAATGACCTAAATACAATGGTCAATCAAATACAATGGAAAGGAAAAATTACAAGAATGAAAATGAGCCCAATATTGGGTACCAAAAGCCCAAAGGCCCACGAAGCCCAAATCTAGGCCCAATAAGCCTAAAGCCCAAAATCCTAATCTAGGGTCCATAATACAAGACCAAAACAATGCAAATTCCTATACTACTAATATGCAATAAAGTGGTGGTCAATCAAGTAAAGCCCAAGTGAAAAGCACCCTAGGCCCACCAAGCCCACTAGGCCCACTAAGCTATGAAGCAGTCAAATCTTCAAGTAGTCTTCTAGCCATTGCTCTAGTGGTTGGACCCTTGGTCCATGCTCTTCCATCACCTTTGCTAGTATTTAGACATGCAAGAAATTACCTTTTTGTGCCATTGTAGCTGTACCAATTGTTTGCTGGAGAATTCTCTGTAGTGCTTCCATTTGCTCCTTGCTAAATGGAGATGGGTTAGAATTTACCTCAGTTGTGTTGCCTCTACTATCCAGGTTTTTGGTTTGTTTTGCCTCTGAAGGTCTGCCATGAATGATCCAGCATGTGTCCTTAGTGTGACCTAGTTTCTTGCAATGACCACACCAGTGCCGATTTTTCTTTGGAGATGTACGCGGTTGGTTCCCCTTTGCTGCCATTGTTGAGCCTTCAATGGATGGGGCTGCACTTGACTTTCCAAGCATCACTTTCCTCCTGCTTTCCTCTCTTCTCACTTCTGAAAATACTTCTCAGATTGTTTTAAGAGGGTTTGGTTCCAAGGATTCTCCCTCGGACTTCATCAAGTTCTGTGTTCAGCCCCTATAGAAACTTGTAGATCCTATCTTTCTCCACCAATTCTTTATACTTCTTATCCTCGGTACAACTCCATTGAACATCTTCATATATGTCCAGTTGCTGCCAGTGTCGACTGAGTGTATTAAAATACTCGTTGACTGAGAAATCACCTTGTCGCAAGTCATGGAGTATGCTCTTGATCTCAAATACTGCAAATGTGTTGTCCACATTTAAGTAGGTTTCCTTCACTGCATCCCACATCTCCTTAGCAGTATCATATTACATGAAATTTTCCCCAATTTCATTAGTCATGGTGTTGAGCAACCATGACATGACTAAACTGTTTTCCAATTGCCATTTGTTTAGATTGGGGTCACCCTTTTCTGGACTCTTGGAGTCTCCTGTGATGTAACCTTCCTTCCCTTTTTCCTTGAAGAAAGATCATAACTGATTGCACCCATTGAGGGTAGTTCTGGCCACAATTTGTGACCAATGATAGGAAAAGCAGGCCCTTCGACCACATTGGTGGCCAAACCTTCTGCCTTGTTCTCTCCCATGGTTGGGGGCGCTAGGTTAGGGATGATTCAGATTGAGCTTTGATACCATGTGGAAAAATATGATGTATATTTTTCGGATTTGGGAAAAATACAAAGGTGGTATAAATAGAATATAAGTGAATAAACCTGCACACTAATCTATCTCTGAAAATCAGGGAAATAATTCTTCCTATAAATGTTGTATCTAAATAATTAAAGAAGAGGAAATAAAATTGATATTATTAACATTAAATCCTATTATGGATTGTACAAATCAGAATTGCATGATTCTAATTGATATGTGTTGAGCTCCAACAGATTCTGATTGATTGTGTTGATCTCCAACACTAAGTATTATAGGTAAGGACTAAGGAGTGAAGTTATACTCCAATACCCCCCGCAAGATCAAGTAGGGTGAGGCGCATTGAGTGAATCAACTTTGGAATGCATGGCATAAAATCAAGTTGTAGAGAGGGATTCAGCGAGAATATCAGCATTACGCCATCTGTAGAACTGCGAGAAATGAGATTTCAAGTCATGTTGAGAAATATTATCTTGTGGCTGTAATGTAGGAGAGTTAGAATTTGAGGATGCCTTAGTGACATTAATGGAGGCAACAACTTTCTTAAATTTATTGAGACTAGATTCATGTGCAAGAAGAAGAGTTTTAATTTCATTAATTGAGAGATCATCAAATTGACTGGTAATTAAGGAAATTATAGACTAATATTCCTCAAGTCATGTTAGTGTATCCACAAGTGTTTGAATTTGAAGAAGATAATCTGGAAATAATTCTAATTCCTTATTTGTACGACTAAAATTAGGAAGTCTAATTATATTGTATACAAATGCAATGAATGGCTTGATTCCTATTCCTAATATAAAAAATATATAATTAGGAAACATTAATAATAACCGATTCCCTTATTTACAGTATGTCTAACTTTTTCTCTAAACAACCTCAAAAGAGATGGTCTCTGACCTCGTGTGCAGTATAATGAATCCACCTTTTGTGTTTCCGTCATGGTTTATCCCATGACCGGTGAAACTTGTGTTGAGATGAGTTCACCATGTTTTGCCGATTTTGGCTTGTATTTGGTCTATATATGCTCCTACTTCTGAGTGGGCTTCTATCCTGTATGGTCTTGAATCCTAAATTGGCTTTGGAGTTCTGGCATTGTTTTGGATGGATTTATCTGTAACAAGCCAGAAGCATGATTGCTTTAGTTTGTGGGAGCGTGTTAGAATATGAAATATTATCTTTTTTTTGTTACAATATATCAGTCTTACCATACTTATATTATTTAGCTACTATTAGGCACAAATTTGCTACTAATTATTAGGCTGTAATTAAATGCCAATTACCTCCGTGATTACTTCACTCCTTGATTGTAATCAAGATATAAACAAAAAATTAAGTGTGCAGTGCACCTGATTTTCTGTTTCAACATATATATATATATATATATATATATATTTATTTATTTATTTATTTATTTATTGAGATTAAAGAAAGAAAGAGTGAGAGAGACAGAGACAGAGACAGATTAACAGAGAAAAGGAATTGTATTATTTCAGTCAATTGAATCTGCAATACAATATTCCTATTTATATATGTTCCAATAACTTCTAAAGAAGCTATAGAAACAATGACCTGTTGAACAGGTAACCAAAACTAAAACAGAAAATAACAAAGAATAACCGTATACAATATTATATCTAATACAATATTAAGGAGTAAAGTTATATACTCCAATAATATTCATGTTTGTATATGCATTGTTAGTTCTTCTCTGATCGTGTCAGTGTTTCACTATGATAGAATGAGACGGGAAATTTTCTGAATGTGCCTGAGTGAATTTTCTACTCAACAGATTGATCTATTTATAATAAGAAAGGTTACATAGACAAAAAATGACTACAACTAATTTCAAGAGAACAATTATAATATCAGAACTTTGTAAGATACATTCAGCTTAGCTAAAGATTAACTAAGCTACTTGAAGGGTAATAAACATTAAATGCTCGTTTCCAACAGTCACAAATGAATTGAATCAACCGTTATAGTGTGATTGGTGTGTATGCATTCGAGCATGTTTGTTTCAAAATAATGCTTTTCCTGTGCAAGTCAATGGGTGCATTTTAATAGATAGTTCTTAGTTTAGATTTTTCCTGTCATCGTACATTAATGCTGCATAAGCTGTGAAATGTTTTTCAACGTAATAATTTTTTCAATTTTGTTAAAATGCTCATCTGTAGGAAATGAAACAAAGACGAGCTCAAGAGGCAAAGAGTTATGGTCCTGCTCAATCTGCTGTGGATGCCACTAACCAAATGTTGAGAACCAAGGTGTTTCTATTAAAAAAAAATACCTATGCATGTTTTGATATTCTGTTTGTTAAACTCATTATAATGGCTTTCCTTTTGTTCCAACACATTCATATTTTTTTAATGTAGTTGTCTTTTTTCCCCTTGTGTAGTTATTATTTTTCATTTCGAAAAGGTGAAACAAAAAGGAAGGAATAGGAAAGAAGGAACTTCCAAAAGTACTGATAGTTATGTAGTTGTTGACATTTGTCTTCTACAAAGAAATAATCCCAGGCCTAACATAGTAACCCATCTTTAGGAAGTTGAATGAAAGTAGTAACTAATAAGACCATGAATTAACTTAAAGCTGCCTAGTTCGGTTTGATGGTTGAGACTTGAGACTTGTGCCTTTAAAACTCTTAATAAATTGAAAAGAAATTGGTAAAGCACTGAAGCAAACAGCACCTTTTCTATTATAAATTGAATTTGTTGTAGACTTGTAGTAGTTTCTAAAACATCAAAATTTGGATTTGGAGAGTTATTATAGGACTGATGGCCTACAAGGCTTTCAGGCTGGGTTAGGGCAGTGCAGTTTTCAAGAGATTAAGATCATTGTTTATATGCCTAGATTGGGTGCATAGTGATGGCTTCATATACTATAATTATGTTGTTACCGTGAAATGTTATTATATTGGGAATCAAACATTTTTGGGAGAATTTTTCTATAAAATGATTTATGTTAATTTTGTAGCCTGGGTTTTTCTGAAAATGATTTTATGTATTACTAACATGATTTTCTTTTCCATGATTCATTTGCAGAGGCTCAGCTCCAAAGTCAATTATGATTGCTTGTTAAAATTATTTGACGAACCTGTATGTATTCTCTCCGCAAACACGTTAAATTAAATATTCATGTTTACTTGTGTGTCTCCATCTTCGATATCATTTGCATTTTTTTTGTTTTTAAAATTGTCTCTAGATAGATAAAGCATAGATCTGAGTCTTCATTTGTATGTTTTTTGTTTTTAAAATTGTCTCTAGATAGATAAAGCATAGATCTATGAGTCTTCATTTGTATGTTTTTTGTTTTTAAAATTGTCTCTAGATAGATAAAAAGCATAGATCTATGAGTCTTCAGATTGCTATTGCTGTTTCATTACTTGTATTTTGATATTTTCAATATCAATCTCTTAATGAAAAAATCTGGAAGCTTCTATGCGTCGTTGCATGGGCATATTTGCTTGCATTAGATTTATTTATTTTATTTAATAAATCAAGGATATTTCTTTTTCTTTTATTTTTTCATGGGCTGAAGCTTGTTTAATTAGAGAACAATCCCTGTTGGTTAATGGTTAAGATAGCATTTCTGATTTACCTTTAAGATGATATGCTTTATTCATATGCTCTGGATATCTCAATCTTTATTTACTCGATAGTAGAGATGTCAAACGGGTCGAGCTGGCCTAGTCCAGTCTAATTGTTAGTTGTAGCTACTTCATTGTTGTGTTTAGAAGACTAATTTACTATATGTGCATTACCTTAATTATAATTGTGTTTTGCTAGGTAGTCTTTTTAACATTAAACTATAGGACAAATCAGAGTGATACGTCCTGTGATTTCTTGAAGTTTCTCACAATAATGCCTGCAATAACTCAATTATTTGAAACACATTATACCTTGTATCATTGCTATCCAACAAAACATTGTGTATTCCTGTAAGGAGCTACTCTAGGTGTTAAAAAGGAAATTGCTGTGTGAAATTTCACGAAACCATAAGGGGTGTTAGTGCAATTTGCCTAAACTATATTTTTATATTTTTACATAAAGCCAAATGTGAAATAATCACTTTTTGTTATATAGGAAGCACCAGAGAATCAGAAGAATCCCAAGAAAGTAAGGTTTGAGCTACCCACCGATGATAATGATAATTTTGAGTCAAAGTTAGAGGACAAAATAAAATATGATGAACCGGGATCAGCTGACGATTTTGAGGATGGTGATATGAACGGAGAATATGAAAATAATTTGTATCAAGAAAATCTATACGAGACTTATGAATATGATGATGATGGTTATGGTTATGATGATTACTGAAATGTTGCTTGAAGCTCTTTCACTTTACTTTTCTGTCACCTTCTGGAATCCATATTGAACATGACTGACACCAGTGTTACAGGCTAGCATTACTGATGAGTTTTAGCTCCTGGGTCAATTCTGAGTGAACTACACCACTGCTTTACTTCCTTTCCTTACATCAATCAACCCTCATCCGCATGTGACCTGAGAGCTTAGGAGTTATTGTTGCTTCTCATCATGTATTATTTATTTATTTTTTTTTTTTATAGAAGATATTTGATTCATTTCATTTTTATTTTTTTTTCTTACCCGCCGCATTGAGCTGTGAGAGCTTAGGAGTTATGCTGGCTTCTCATCATGTATTCTTTTTCTTATAGAAGATATTTAATTCATTTTCATTTTTATTTTCTTCTCTTACAAGTAATTATTGAGAAAATTCTCCAATTAAGGCTTTAAAAATTATTATTGTCTAGTGAAACTTTGGTGTCGAATTTCATCTATAGTTTCCTAATAGATTTTGGTTTCCCTTGTTTTTCCCCCATTTGTAAGATTTGGTCTTGTTTGTAGTGTTAAGGTTTAACTGCATGCAATTGCAGTCTTTGTCATTACTTGTGATTATGGTGGATGCATGAGGTTGAGGGAATATATCGTAATGTGTATATTTTGGCACTTGAGAGCACGTAATGAGGGAATTGTAATGTATATATTTTTACATTTGAGAACATGTTACGAGGTAATTGATTTAATGCATACATAGATTGTCACTTTTGAGAACATTGTATAATTTTCACTTCATTCATAAGCGGATTAATTTATTCAGTTATCAGTGATATTAAACTCGTCTTGCTCACCCGATTTGATGTATTACGAGACGGGTTCAATCAGTATAACTAAATATTATTTGATTTGTTCATCAAGCTACATATTCTATTATGAAACTTTGCATTAATTATAGGTGGTGACAATTTAATGTCCTCTCTTTCAATTATTATATACACTTAGTGTATGAGTATTAAATTTTAATTATATTACAAAACCATTTTATTGATAATACTGGTTGGTATAATTTCAATTAGTGTCTTTTCATGGACAAAATAAAGCCGAATAAATTCTTGATTTTGAAAATGGCATTCTTTTTAAATTTCCTTTTTGTTACTAATATTGGAGATTAAAGTGATACATGTATTAACTTTTAAGGACGGTTAAACTATTTATAAGGTTTTGTTGTCATTTTGTGTCTTTATATGAAAAGAAATATGTAAGTTTCAGTCTATTAACATTGTTGGTGAAATGTGATGCATTGTTCTGAATCATTTATTATAGATGACTCGATATGTTTCATTATCTATGTGAACTGATTTGACTCGAGCAAGTTTAATGAAATTCGCTTACCCGGTGCACTGACTTGGCTGTCATGCCTGTTGTAGGAGTAAAATCCAGGTCCTTATTTTGAAAGCTTATGAGCCACTACATCATGTAATTTTCATATATATATTAGACATAGAGTTAATATGAAATTATATATTTAAAACTATACATGCTTATACTGTTCAATTAGTCATTCAGATTTAACTAGTAATTCATTGATTCAGTATTTTGACCAAGTCAATTATCTAGTTCTGATCATACTAGTCAAAAGTGTTATATATTTTCTTTTTTTTAGTACATAACTACTATAAAGTTTTTCTGGTAGTGAAAAATGGTACAATTTTTTTTTACATGTCTTCATTTTCGGGTAAGTTTGCAGCTTGATTTTATTTTATTTTTTATTTTTTGTCGCGGTTAGATACTGTCAATGTTTTTTAGCATTGTAAACTACACTCTGCCTAGAGATTAAAATGTAATTTTTATGTATGCCTAGAGATTAAAACTTGTAGTTTTTTTGTTATGGTGTATAGGAATAAACTTAAAATGAAAATAATTATAAAAGGTGAATAGTTTAACCTTTAAAGATAGAAGTGGAGGTATAGCTGTCCAAAGTAATGTAATTTTTTAGTGGTTACATTTATCATGTCTCTACCAGCAACTATTATTTCTTTTGACCAATAGGGTTGGTTTATTAGAAGAGGTTAGTTCCTCACGTGACAAATAGAGGTTTAAATTTTCGTTCAAACTTCAAAGTGTTCACATTTACCATGCCGGACACGTGTAAGAGATTAAAAAATATATAATATTTCTTTTTTCTTGTATTGGATGATTGGGAGTGGCGGTGTGCCAATAGTGGTTCAGCACTCCATTACCTTAAAGAAAGTGGACATTAATCACTTTTTCAACACACTCTTTTATTATAAGAAAAAAAAAATAACTAATTTCAAACATATAAAAGATACCAATTATTTATATAAATTTACTAAGAATATAATATTTTTCTAAATTCTTTTATTATAAATATTAAGAAAATGTAGCGTAGTCAAAAGATCATACATTAAAAGAATAATATTTTAAGAAAAATATCATTAAATAAGATAAACATAGTTAAAATATATAAATAAAAATTATGTATTATCTTTTTGCTAATAATAAAAGATAGAGAAGTACTCTCTCTCTCTCTTTTTTTTTTTTTCATTATAAGACATGTTTAAATTTACATTCAAGATTCACATCCAAATAAAAATCACATGAATTGATTAAAAAACTTACTCTTTATTACGTGGGTTGGATGTGGAGAGTGTCCACATCATGGATTTGGTTCCAAAGTAATTCCAAATAGCATGGATTTGGCATGCATGGTATTTGGAGTTCCTATCCCAAGTGTGGGTCTGTCAACGCACTAAAATCAACCAAAACTTTTGATTTGGATCCAATTGTCTAGTGCCAAAGGATTTGCTTTCCTACTTACTGGAAAACTTTATAATTTAATATCATGTTGCTAATTATTATCCAAATATAACAATCAAATTACTAGCTAAAATCTAACTCTTTTCTAGTAATCAGTCCGCATGATAATATAGAAAAAGGTTTATATATATTGGCAGTTAATTAAATTTAATTGGGGACTTGGACAATAAAATCTAGTGTGTTGTATATTTTTTTTAGTTTTATTTTTGTTGTGTAAAAAAATAAAAATATATGCCTTATTTTGTTTGTCGCTGCGTACTTTCTGGTATGATTTTTAGCGGAATGGCAGTGTATATATATATATATATTTGCGAGAAAAGTTATAACAATACTTGTATAACTTTTATTAACTATTACATTGTTCAATAAATTTATATTGAATGTGAATTTTGTGAATTTAATTATTAGATTGAAAGTTCATATCATTTTATATATTTATACCAAATTTTATTAAAATTGAACAATAATTTGAAGGTAATCAAAATATTCATCTTTTAGTATATTTTGAAATGTATATATTCTTACCGGAAATCTACTGTAGACCTGATCCGCCAGGTAAGATCGGCGAGTCTCCTTTACTAGTACATTGGTGCTCCAAGATGGGGGTGGTACCTGTAAAAGAGACTCTGATGTTAAAGTTAGTGTTTGTGAGAGTATGAATCTCGGATTAGTTATGCACGTACCTTTGTGTGAATTAAGGTTGCTTTGGACCTTGGGCCTGAGATAAGATATGATAAGATCTTGAGATAATATATGATAAGATTAGATAAGGGATCTCGTCTGGAGCGAGATCCCTTGAGATCTACTTAAATTCCGAGCTGACGTCCCGTAGCGCGTGCTCGAGGTCATCTTGCGTTGTGATGCCGAGCTCGGAGCTCGGCTTCACAGTATGGACAGTCCACTAGCCCCCCGAGCTCCGAAGAACATAGGTCGAGGAGTTAAGACCGAGCTCGCTGGAGGGGAGTGACCTTTCGCGCATGCTTGCCTGTTAAGATGCCTTGTGTTGCAACTGTCACCTCGTTCTCGAGAACGTGCAGGCGGCATGGTAACAAGATTGTATTTTTATCTATTTGATGACGTGTCCTCTTTGGGTCGATGTGGTATTCCGATGTCCATGTTTCATGGCCGAGCTGAGGAACTCGGCAATGATGAGTTTACTGCTTGGTCAGGCTAGTAAACCTTTGATTGAGTCAATGGATTGGTGAGGGGCAAGTCGACAACTTGGCTGGCCAGTACACTTGCCCTCCAAGCACCGAGTGATGTAAGAGCGAAGGGGCTTTTGAGGAGCTCCTAAATTTGTTGTTTGCAGGTTTGAGCTCGACCTTGGTTAAGAAAATATGATCTCAAGGTTCGGACTCGACCTTGGCATATCAAGGTTCGTACTCGAATTTAGTTATGAAAATATGATCTAAAGGTTTGGTCTCGACCTTGGCATAACAAGGTTCGCACTCGACCTTGATTAAGAAAATGTGATCTCATGGTTCGGACTCGACCTTGGCATATCAAGGTTCGAACTCGACCTTGGTTAAGAAAATATGATCTCAAGGTTCGGACTCGACCTTGGCATATCAAGGTTCGAACTCGACCTTGGTTAAGAAAATGTAATCTCAAGGTTCGGACTCGGCATTGGCATAACAAGGTTTGAATTAGACCTTGATTAAGAAAATATGATCTCAAGGTTCGGACTCGACCTTGGCATATCAAGGTTCGAACTCGACCTTGGTTAAGAAAATGTGATCTTAAGGTTTGGACTCGACCTTGACATATCTAGGATCGAACTCGACCTTGGCATATCAACGTTCGAACTCGACC